CTAACAAGTACATTAGGATTTATGGGATGTGTTCCGGCGTACCTAATCTATGCAGCCTAACATTGAATTATAGAAGTCTATAGTGTGTTATGTATATGTATGCAAGGTCAAATAGATTTGTTTCTAGTCTAGCTTTGAACTGACAGAGTGTGTCAACTTCCCGGAAAATGCTAGGAAGACTGTTCCAAAGTTTTGGTGCTAAATAGGAAAAGGATCTACCGCCAGCAGTCGATTTTGATATTCTAGGTATTATCAACTGGCCGGAATTTTGAGATCGCAAAAGACGTGAAGGACTATAGAGCTCGCTCAAGTACTGGGAGCTAAACCATTTAGTGCTTTGTAAGTAAGTAGTAATATTTTTAAATTTATACAAAGCTTAATAGGCAGCCAATGCAGTGTTGACAGAACCGGATATATTAGATATATTTTTAACTCTTTCCCCGCCAAACACGGAATTTTCCGTGTTTAATGAAAAAACGCATCTGCGCCAAACACGGAATTTTCCGGGTATCCGTGTTTTAGGTGGTATACGGTAAGGAAGACCTGCGCGCATGTCCTGAATGATTGCGCAACTCTTTGTTTAGAGAAACAGATTGCAATCGTCTCAAACAGTGGAGTAGTGAGAATGTATCAGACAGACAATGCAGAGGTATATGGCTGAAGTACTGGAGGTTAATGGACTCGGAGTCCGATCACTCTTTATTTGATAATTCTGAATCTGATCGGGACGAAGTAGTCAGTGAGAGAGATGCACATGTTCATGCTCCATGGACGTGCCGCAGATAGATCGTATAATATTATGACAAATATGTATGTGTGTGTGCAGGTGTTACGGATCAACTGGGGATCATGTTAACTGGGGACGCGCGCGTGCACGCAGACAGTTTTACCTGGATTTCCAGCAGATGTTAACCGCGACAGATTCGTGCCCTATTTTTCACCGATAAAAACGAATATTTCACCAGTTGTATACACGGAATGCAAATAAAGCGCTTTGTTTTTGCAGTGTATGATATTCCTTTGTATTTGACGCATTTTCAAAGAAGTTTAACATACTTTAGTGTCAAGCTCAGAAACCACGCCCATGTTAACAAGGGTCATTCGCTTTCATTGGATGAACAGACTTGTCAGCGCACTTGTGTTATCATGTGTTCTAATCACAAATAACAACAGATATAGATTAAGTTAAAGTATATAGGCTACCTAAAGAATCATAAAGTGCAAAGTCATTTACATTTTTTCAACAAGTTGCATTTTTCGATCTGCATTGCCTAATTTTATAATGGATCAATTATTTTTTATCTTATCAGCTTATTTTACTCTGATGATATTTAGATCTCTTTTTTGAACAACCAGATGTGAAGCGTCCGTATCATCCATATCATGAAGTTAATTATCTCATGAACTTAATGTAACATTTTCAAAAGATTCATAAATAAAAAATTATTTATTTGTTTCTTTCAGAACAATTCTGTATATACTACTGCAAATTTGTATAAGCATATCAACCCATAATCGAACCATGGCATAAAGCATTCATGTAGCTCAAACAGTAGAGTGTTACGCTGACAACACCAGAATCATGGGTTCAATTCCCACATAAAGGAATAACTAATGAGACTTTAAAATGTACCTTGAAATGCAATATAAATTGCTCAAACATTGTACATTATGCTCAGTAGCATAAACTTGAATGTTGTGTAGCCTATCTAATGTCTTGTATTGGACATTTAGAGAACACTTTGTCTTTAGTGATTAAAGTCCTGTGAAAAACACAGAGTGTATTACTGAAATAAGCAGAACATATGATATTGTGATGATGACTTATTACAAAAATATAGGCCTGATATTCTGTAGCCTATGTCTAATTTTCACCTACATCACTAACCTCTTAATCATTTGTCACCTCACATGAATAGCATGACCCTCTCTAAAACAATACAAAATGCTTTAATTGTTTACTTATTGCTGACATCTTTAACAAAAGAAATATTACACAATGGTCTATGAGTTTTATAAATAAAATAATGTGTTTGGGCAACTTTTTATGTAATATAAATTATGCCAGTGCTCTTCATTTGACTGGTACCATGAAATTCATTAGTTCACCTTCGAACAATTTCTTGCTGATAATTTACTCACTCAGGAATGTTTTCCTCAAAAATCTTAATTTCTTTTCGACTGAAGAAAGACATGGACATCTTGGATGACATGGGGGTGAGTAAATTACCAGCAAAAACCTTTTTTGATAGTCAACTACTCCTTGAACATATTCTCTTTACTTGTTATTCATCACATCATGTGCATTCATTGTTGTCATCTGCTATTTCTTAGGAACAGATTAAAAAAAGGTCTATAGCTAAATTAAGTGTCATTATTGTTACTGGTGTCATTGTTGTTAGGCCATAGACTACCACAACAAATTGATGCAATTAAAGTTACACAAATCAAAAACTTTGTAGGATAACCATTATTTGGCAGCTGCTCTATAAAGGAACACTAAGAGGAGATTTCTCAGTGAAGGGTGATTGTGTGTTAAATTGCTCTTACTATAGAAAGGTAATACAACTGTGACATTTATTTTCTAATATAACATGATTACATTAGATGGAGAGCAGTAGGTATTAAGGCCAAACTGGCCAAGAAAAATGTATGCACATTGCAAAACAAGTAATTGTTCTTCATTAGCATGTAACTATTCTAACTTATTTTGTTCATCCTTCCTTAGATTGAATGTTCAGAAGGTGAGACTGTGTGGTCAGACCTTCACAGATGGCAAATACAGCTGTCCTACATGCATGCACAATTGCCTATTTTTTTTCTTTCTTTTGTTGCTTTCATAGGTCTGTTATAATGAATATGTGTGTTGAACATTCCCCTATGCTGTGAGTAAATCACTGAATCCATAAGATATGTCTTATCAATTTTCACCACTCTTTATGAACATTTATGGAGTGTACTGTATGCTTAATGTTTTAACTCATTCCTCAGCAACATTAAAATTCATAAATAATAAATAAATAAATGCTTGACATGTCCCTTTAACCACAGAAGTATTGCTGCTCAATTTAAATGAAGCCACAAATTGGCATCATAACAATAATCTGCGAATACACACGCACTGCAAATACACAATGTCAATAGTATAATTTATTTAATATATTTACAGTTGTCATCAGATACAAATTTTATTGAAACTAATGTAAAAAAAAAATAATAATGTGGGCGTGGTCTGTGTGTCGCAAAATTAAAGCACATTAAAACTTCCCGTAGGCGTCTGAAACATACAGCGGAGCAGCGCAGAGTAAACAACAGAGCCATAATATGATGCAAACATTTAACAATAAAGTGGAAAGCTTTGAAAATCTGCTCAGTGAAAAAATAACTGTGACGAATCTGTCACCGTTTAACATCTGCTGGAAATCCAGGTAAAACTGTCTGCGTGCACGCGCGCGTCCCCAGTTAACATGATCCCCAGTTGATCCGTAACACAGGCATTTATGTGTGGCTGTCTAAATATGAAGGTGTAATTGTCAAATTATTTCTCTCTTTGTGCACATTTACCACATTGTAAAATGTATTTGTGTGTGTGTGTGTGTGTGTGTGTGTGTGTGTGTGTCTAGGCCTGTTTATTGTAATTCCAATTATTCATAGGTAGAACACAGAGAGGCAGAGGCAGAAGTTTTATTGCAAAAGTTACATTTCCCTTACATCCTGGGAAATTTGATATATTTTACATTTATTTTATGTTTTTAATTTATTTTGGAAAGTTTTATATATGAAGGAAACAACATCTGAATGTATTCTGCTTTTAAATGCACTTGTTTGATAAAAACACCTTTTTCTCAGTTTTTTGTCCAAAATGTTGTGTTTTTGACAAAACCTACCTCTGTTCAAGAGGCAATAAAAAAAGAACAAATGAAGATAAAATAAAAACGTTTTTTTTGCCTAAAAGCAGAGGCTCAGATCTTTATTTTTATATATATCATCTTCATATATTCATGGAAGAAAATATTCAGCGGGGGCATTCAAATTTAGCGAAAATCGTCAAAAACCCTGGCGGTGGCTGGCAACTTTTTTTTAAAACGCTGGCGGGGAAAGAGTTAAGATGGAAAAATACGGTTTAACAGATACTATTAATTTGACTTTCAAATGAAAGATTGCTATCAAAGAGCACAACCATGTTCCTAACCGATGACGAAGACTTGACAGAGGAGCCATCAAGTGTTAGACAGTATTTTAGGTTATTACATGAGGAAATTTTTTGTCCAATAATTAGAATCTGTTTTTTAAAAACAAATTAGAATCATTCAGTTTTTTATATCAGCTATACATTCCGTTAATTTTGTGAATTTTTAAGTTTCTTCGGGGAGTGAAGAAATATAGAGCTGAGTATCATCAGTATAACAGTGAAAACTAATGCCATACTTCCTAATGATATCTCCTAAGGGTAGTATGTACAGTGTGAACAGCAATGGTCCTAGTACTTAGCCTTGTGGTACACCATGAACTTGTGATCGATAAGACACCTCTTCATTTACTGCTACAAACTGATAACAGTCAGATAAGTATCATTTAAACCATGCTAATGCAATTTTGCCAACATCATTTTCGAATCTATTTAAAAGAATTTTGTGTAAATAGTATCAAATGCAGCACTAAGATCGGGTAACACCAATAGCGAGATACAATCACGACCGGATGAGCAAATCATTCGTGACTCTGATGAGAGCTGTCTCAGTACTATGGTACGGTCTAAATCCTTACTGAAAATCCTCGCAGATATCTTTTTTTTTTTTTTTTTCTAAATAGGAACATAGGTAGTTGTGAAGATACTGCCTTTTCTACTATCTTTGACAGAAAAGGTAGATTTGAGATCTAATTGACTCAATTCTGTATGATCAAGTTTTTTTTAACAATTGGTTTTATAATAGCCAGCTAAAAGTTTTTGGTGTGTATCTTAGTAATGTAACCAGGTCAAAAGTTATCAAACTAATTACTGTACTGGTTAACTAATGCTCTAGGATAAGGGAAGTTACACCACAGACTGTTCCAGGGTTTTCTCATTAATTGATGGAATAGTACGCTAGCCCTTTAAGAAACGCGATGTGTGACATTCTGGAAGAATCGCGAGATTCTGCTGTGTACAGCGCGCGGTCACAACGTGATTTGAAGTGCGGCTCATGCGGTGGAGTGCTGAGGCCATTAGACGCAGATGTTACTGTTAAAATAACAAAAAAGCACATATAGTAACTTGGAAGTCTCTCTTAGTGTGTTGTGAGGATTGTGTGTTGTGCTGAGGGAACTTTGAAATTCTGTCGACTCGAGATGCATACCTATGTGGAGAAATCCGATCGACAATAAATCTCGAAGCGTGAGTGATTAATCATAACTAATGTCAGTTTAATATTGAGAATATTTTGTTGTGTATGATGTAATCTAAACATTAAGTGATTGGTGATCATTTTGGTTGATTAAAGAGGGGAGAGGAGTATTCTTAAGGCCTCCTGAGTGTTTCCAGGCCGAGTGTGAAGCAACAGAGTGAGTGTTGTTAATTAATTAATCCTAAAAAAAAGTGTTTGCTGCTTATACGTGTGTTTATGGCAATCTGTTGATTGTTAAATAAGTGTTATACTGTGTTTATTGCTGTTTCAGAAGGAGAATTGAGTTCAGCATTCAATGTGACAGTGTGTACATGCTATAAAGTGTGTTGATGAACAGTAAGTTTAATTTGATTATTATAATAAGAGTCATTTAATTATTTCTTTGTGGAATATTAGAATGTTAATTCAGAGTGATTTATATTTAGTGGATGTTAGCCATTGTAATGATTAGAATGTATTAATGTTACTGGGAAATGTAACTTCATTTTTATATTTTTCATGCATCTTTTATGTAAGATAAGCAGCTTTATTTGGTATTCTGTGTTGACAAATCTTGTAACAATCTGTGTATGTGTTTTTCAGAATACGAGTCCACTATCGTTGTCTATGTTAATTAGATTCCAGTAGTTTATTTGTTAATGTGGTGACTGAGAACAGAAAGACAAGAGAGACTAGAGTTGATAACAAAATATCTTTATTGATTCCAACCAATGTAACAAGCTTTCTTGTCTAGTATCACATATTTGCATAGTTAACGCTGCGCTGTTTCAAGTGCAGTCTGGAATAAACGATCCCACAGATAATTTAAATCCCTGTGTCTAGTGTTGTCACTAATATTCACACCGGGCCACAGAGAATTTTGGTACCAGGAGTGGGGTTCCATTGCTAGTGTAGATAGGATAGCACTAAAACATAGACAACGGTAGTGGGAGAAACTGGTCGTGTGCTGACGCCTGGGAGTTCGACGGTGTGGAGTGTGACGTGCCTGGAGGGTCTGCGGAGAAGCAAGGGACCAGCTTTGGGAACGCAGACGGGTGCCTAATCGTCGACAACGAATTGGCCTTTCAGGTTGGCTGGCATTGACTGTGACTGTTTCTGACTCAGAGCCATTAGAAATAGGGACATTGCAAGAGCATGGACCAGGACGACGATGTGCCAGCTGCTCGGGCTGGAGCCAGCCGGGACGTGGACCATGCTGGGGCTGCGGGTCATGAGGATGAGGGTAATCCTGTAGCAGAACTGAAGTCACAAATTCTGGAGTTAGGTCGAAGACACGACCAAGTAATGTCAACCCTGGCTAATATGAATAATGCTACTAGGTCGTATGTTTATATTCCAAGGGAACGTCAAATTTTGCCATTCAGTGGTGATCATGTTAAAGATGGTCAATCTGTAGATGAGTTCATTGACGAGGTTGAACGTGTAATTCGGGTAAGGGGGTTGAATACTGATGACCAGTTGGATTTCATACTTTCCCATTTAAGAGGTTCAGCCTTAGACGAAGTCAAACTGTGTATGGGGGGGGAGACCAAACAACCCAGTGATCTGTTTTCATATTTGAGGGGGGCCTTTAGGGAGAAACGCACTACCCCACAGTTGTTGCATGCTTTCTATGCACGTAGACAGCTAGAGGGGGAAGACATCCGTGACTTTTCTCATGCTCTCTCCCAACTTCTTAACTTTGCTCTCCAGCAGTCTAATAATGCTGTGTCTGACCCCCAACTCGCATTAAGAGATCAGTTTATCGAAGGCATAAGAGATGCAACCCTACGTAGAGAGCTGCGCAAGCTTGTCAGAGAAAAGCCTCAGTCTACCCTATTTAACGTCCGTGAGGAGGCCATGATGTGGGCTGTGGAGGACCGACCCCGTGGAGCTAATGTGGCCAGGAGTCGAAACATCATGAGTACATGTTCCGAAGGGATGTCAGAACCTTCAAATCCGGTCAGTTCTGCACAAAGTGACATGGTTGGGGCTCTGCAGGAGGTAGTCAAGATAATCACTCAGCAGGGTAAAGCGATTGGAGAACTCACTAATGCGGTCCGTGAACTCACTGTACAGAAGGTTGGGTCGAGTGGTAACACGATTGGCAATCCCAGAGTCAAGCCCAAGTATACAGATGATGGCCAACCTATCTGTTTGAGGTGTGAAGGAGTGGGACATATAGCTAGACATTGTCCTGCACCTCGTGGTTTCAAGGGTCAACCCACTGCCACCCAGAGTTCTACGGTACAGGGAAACGGTGTCCCTCCGTTGCGGTGAGCCGAGCAATGCGAGGGAAACCAGAAGGCTCGGGATGCAGTACGTTAACGAAAGAACGGTTCTTGGAGCGTGCTGTTGGCAGGTGCCCTGAAGTTGATATTTGCATTGGGGGTGTCCCAGTAAGATGTCTGCTAGACACAGGAAGTAATGTGAGTACCCTAACAGAAAGCTTCTTTAGAGAAAACCTACATGGAGAGGACGGGGACCTTCATTGCACCTCTAAGTGGCTAAGGATAACTGCAGCGAACAAGTTACCCCTGCCGTACCTGGGATATGTTGAATTGGACATCCAAGTGATGGGGCTAACTATACCGGAGTGTGGTTTCCTGATAGTCAGAGATGTGGAAGCTGCGGAGCCGGATCCAACTCCACCCGGTATCATAGGCATGAACATCACCCAGAGATGCAGAGAGTTAGCACTGACTGAGTTTGACACCACATTAGGAGGGAAGTTGGACTCTGTTTGGCGAGAAGCCTTCACCCGTGTACAGGAAGATGAACGAGGGAAGACAATGTCAACAGCCAGAGTTAGTTGTCGGGGCAAAACCCATATTCCAGCATCCTCTATAGCCACTGTTCATGCCAGAGTAAACAAGAGAACCCTGATGTTAACGCTTGGCTCTTGCTGGAACCAGGAAACACCCCATTACCAGGTGGTTTGATTCCCATGCCCACTTTGGTGTCGTCCAGAAGTCGAGTGTTTCCAGTTCAAGTGGTCAACTTCTCCCAAGAAGATGTCTGGCTGCCACCTAAAGTCCCACTTGGAATACTTACCCACTGTCAGTGTGTTGAGAGTGAAGCTTGTCAGGTGAGATTCCAGCGTATCTCTGCTGATCACGAAGAAGTGATGGTCAATCAGAAAGACAAACCAGAGTCTGGTACTGATGTTTCTAATCTGTTGAGTCGACTACATATAGGAGGTACACCGGAACAGCAAGCAAGCCTGGGAGTGCTACTTTTGAAGTATGCCGATGTGTTTGCATCCTGTGATGAAGAGCTAGGATATACAGATCGGGTGAAACACGAGATCCACTTGACGGATGAGGCTCCCGTTGCTCAGCCATATCGCAGAATACCGCCGACTCAATTTGAAGAGGTTAAGGAGCATATCTCAGGTTTACTCAGGAAGGGTGTCATCCAGGAAAGCTCGAGTTCTTACGCTTCACCCATCGTTCTGGTACGCAAGTCGGATGGAAGTCTAAGGCTGTGCGTGGATTATAGGAGACTAAACTCGAAGACTAAGCGTGACGCTTTTCCATTGCCGCGCATTGATGAGAGCTTGGATGCGTTGGGAGGAGCAAAAGTTTTCTCCACAATAGATCTTGCTAGCGGTTACCATCAAGTGGCGGTCCATGAAAATGACAGACCGAAGACGGCATTCATCACACCGTTGGGCCTCTATGAATACCGGCGGATGCCTTTCGGGTTGTGTAATGCGCCTGCAACCTTCCAGAGACTCATGCAGGCTGTCATGAGTGACTTGGTGTTTCAGATTGTGCTCGTCTACCTGGATGACTTGTTGGTGTATTCGTCCACCTTTCACACACACCTGGTGAGGCTGGAAACTGTGTTAAGAAGATTAAGGGAAACTGGACTGAAGATAAAGATGGAGAAATGTCATTTCCTTCAGCCTGAAGTGAAGTTCCTGGGCCATCAAGTCTCACCCCAAGGCGTGAGCACAGACCCCGATAAGATAAGCGCAGTCCGGGAGTGGCCAGTCCCGGGCACTCTCAAGGAACTCCGATCGTTATTGGGGTTTTGTAGCTATTACCGGAGATTCATCGAGGGGTTCTCCCAGATAGCTGGACCGTTGCACGATGTGGTGAACTTGTGCCTTAAAGAGACCAGCCACGCCAAGGCAGTTCAGCGGTATAAGAGCATCTGGACTCCTCAGTGTCAAGCGGCATTTGAGCACCTTAAGGACCGACTTACCAGGGCACCCACACTTGGTTATGCTGATTTCACGCTTCCCTTTGTGATTGAGACAGATGCGAGCAACCTGGGGTTGGGAGCGGTCTTGTATCAGCAACAAAACGGCAAGAAGGTTGTAGTGGCTTATGCCAGTAGGAGATTAAGAGGGGCTGAGAAAAATGATCGGAACTACAGCAGCATGAAGCTGGAACTATTAGCATTAAAGTGGGCAGTCACTGAAAAGTTCAGAAGTTATCTGCTGGGGTCCAAATTCACCATCATAACAGACAACAATCCCCTCTGCCACCTCACAACTGCCAAGTTAGGGGCCTGCGAACAACGTTGGGTTGCCCAGCTCGCTGTGTTCGATTTTGAAGTCAAGTACCGCCCTGGACGGTGTAACACTGCGGCTGATGCTCTTTCGAGGAGACCAGGATTAGATGAACCAGACTCTGCAAGCGAAGACGCCGAATTTGATGGTTCCGTGGCAATCTGTAACTCGCTCAGGACAGGAACAGCTCTGGGACCAGACCTGTTGGCAGCAGGAGTTGAGTGCAGCAAAGTCAGGCAGTTACAGGTAACCACAGCAGGAGAAGAGGATATTGAGTGTGAGAATACCCCCACTCTGCCCGGGTATTCAGAGTCAGAACTTCGTCAGTTCCAGGAGTCTGATCCAGCACTAAGTGTGTTCAAGAAGTTCTGGAGCAGGCAAAGGAAACCTACCAAGCAAGAGAGGATGGGTCTGGCCACAGCTGTACGATCCCTGTTGAAGCAGTGGCCAAAGATAAGAGAAAAGGATGGTCTGTTATACCGTGTAATAAATGATGTCCATGTTGGAGAATGTCATCAGCTGTTGTTACCCACCTGTTTGATAGATCAAGTCTTAAAGTGTGTCCACGATCAGATGGGTCATCAGGGTATAGAGAGGACCTTAGGCCTGCTGAGACAGAGATGTTTCTGGGGAGGAATGTATGAGGATGTGGAACAGTGGGTAAAGCGATGTCAACGCTGCGTATTAGCAAAGATGCCGCAACCAAAAGTCAAGGCACCCTGGGTTTCATTCTTGGCCACACGTCCCTTGGAGGTTGTAGCAGTGGACTTCACCATTCTTGAACCAGCCACGGATGGGCGAGAAAATGTTCTTGTAGTGACAGATGTGTTCACAAAGTTCAGTCAAGCATTTCCCACCCGTGATCAGAAGGCGGGACCACTGCCAAGATTCTCCTCAGGGAGTGGTTCCTGAAATATGGAGTGCCGCAACGCTTGCACTCTGATCAGGGCCGGAATTTTGAGAGTGCTGTGATTGCGGAACTCTGCAAGTTATATGGAGTCAAGAAAACGCGCACGACCCCGCATCACCCCAGGGAAATCCTCAATGTGAGAGGTTCAATAGAACCCTTCATGATCTCTTGAAGTCCCTTCCACCCGAAAGGAAGCGCAGGTGGCCTGAACACTTGTCAGAGCTGGTCTATGCATATAATGTGACACCACACTCATCCACAGGATACTCACCATACTATCTGTTTGGGATCCAGCCACATCTGCCAGTTGATGCACTGTTGGGCCAGGAGCCTGTAACCGATGACAAACATGATTGGTTAAAAGTACACCAGGAACGCCTCCGAGATGCCCATGTTCGAGCAAAGGAATATGCGGAAAGGAAGGCTGTGGAACGAGCTGCGCGGCATGAGGAGAAGGTGTTTTGCCCTGATGTAGAGATTGGACAACATGTGTACCTACGACACCGGCCACTAGGAAGAAACAAGATTCAGGACGCGTGGTCTTCAACAATGTACAAGGTGTTAGAGGTTCAAGGAACGACGTACACCGTGGAGCCTGTTGAAGGAGGTACATTGAAGAGGGTGCACAGATCTAACCTCAGACCCTGCAATGGTCCAGCCCCAGTGACCGTGCCAAAGCGTCGGCAAACTTCTGTGGAGGAGGTACCTACCCCAGATCCTGAGTCAGAGATGACCTCCTTGGAGGCTGAGTGTGTTCTAGTGGAGGAAGTTCCGTGTTTCAAGGAGAAACTGGCAGTAGTACCAACATCTGAGCATCAAGAACAGCCAGTTCCTGGAGACAGAGACAGTTTCAAAGATCAGATGGAGGAATCTGATAGGAGGGGTTATTGCTCGAAACCAGAGTGCAACGAGACCCTTGATGATACCCTGGGAGTGCCGCCAGTATTTCTGGAGCCAGAAACAGAAATTGTTCACTTACCTGCTGAGAATCCAGTGATAAAACCGGTGCCCACACCTAGAAAGAGAAAGGAAGAGGGTGTTAAGCCAGAAGTGCCTTGCCCTGCTGTGCGTAAAACACAGAGAACAAATGCAGGAGTACATAGTAACCCAAACCATTTACCCAAGTCGACATGCAATGCAGTGTCTTTTAGTCCGGATGTGCTCTCCCAAGTGCTAGCTGGAATGGTCCTCTATACCACAGGGAAGCTTCAAGGGGGGCAAGATGATTAGGGTTAGTAGTCACCGGGGACGTCGACTATCAGCAGGGGAGAGTGTAACCAGGTCAAAAGTTATCAAACCAATTACTGTACTGGTTAACTAATGCTCTAGGATAAGGAAGTTACACCACAGACTGTTCCAGGGTTTTCTCATTAATTGATGGAATAGTACGCTAGCCCTTTAAGAAACGCGATGTGTGACATTCTGGAAGAATCGCGAGATTCTGCTGTGTACAGCGCGTGGTCACAACGTGATTTGAAGTGCGGCTCATGCGGTGGAGTGCTGAGGCCATTAGACGCAGATGTTACTGTTAAAATAACAAAAAAGCACATATAGTAACTTGGAAGTCTCTCTTAGTGTGTTGTGAGGATTGTGTGTTGTGCTGAGGGAACTTTGAAATTCTGTCGACTCGAGATGCATACCTATGTGGAGAAATCCGATCGACAATAAATCTCGAAGCGTGAGTGATTAATCATAACTAATGTCAGTTTATTATTGAGAATATTTTGTTGTGTATGATTAATCTAACATTAAGTGATTGGTGATCATTTTGGTTGATTAAAGAGGGAGAG